AGTGCCCGTTCCCCCTCGCCCTTGGGGCATAAGCCCATCCCATCCCACACCTCCCTCTTCCCCTGTCCCCGCCAACCCCAGTCACTGCAGTCCACCTTTCCTTCTAAGCCAGGCCTAGTCTAACCAACTTTTGACACCACCCTAGCCGCGAGCCAGTACAACATTAGCATAATTACTACCAATTATACAGCATTTACCACAGTTCGGCTCAGCTGGAGGGTAGCCGATGTCCAGAAAGCGTCTAGCATCACTGCCAACGCCGCTCGCCGGAACAGCTTAAGACATTACCAGACGCTCTGGCTAGCGCTACCTGGCGTTTGGTGGCTGGGTCGCGTGATCGGGGATGGTGGCTGGGAAGATTAGAAGTGGCTAGGGCGTGTTGGTTGGTAGTGCTCACAAACAGCTCAGAGAACACGGCTGAGGCCAGGACGGTGGAGAGAAATGAAGGTGCTGGTCAGGAGTTCAAGGCGGAAGTGCTGACAGAGGCTGGGGTGATGGGTGATGCGTACCCCGATGGGACTCTGGAGACAAGGATTGGGGACAGGATGGAAGAGGGGAGCAAGGGTGTTAGTCAGGAGTTCGGGGCAAGAATTGCAGGCAGCAGGAAAGAGAAAAAAGCCAAGACAGAAAGGTAAATTAAAACAAACCTGAACTTATGAATAAAAGGAGAAAAGTTAAATCAAAGAATTGGAACCTGTAAATAAAAGCAAAAGCAAACAAAAACTGAGCTTATGCGAGTGGAAACTGTCTTACAAAAACCGGTCTTCAGTGAGCAGTTTCTGCATTTATTAAGCTTATGCTTAAGTGAAGCTAAGGGCAAATAAGTTCGGTTGCATTTACACAAAAATCACGCAATTCCATTGTTCTGCCTCCAGCCTGCCTAAGCAAGGGTTTCACAAACTCAAACTCAGTTCCTAATTATGCTGAGCTCTCACAGACGAAAGCGAGAAAGTTTTGTCGCAAAAATTACTTGGAAGCCAGAAAATTAGGAGAATAAAATTTTGGATGGATATTCACCCTTCGATGTTTCAAATTCAGCTTTCACATGCCAGTGCGTGGAATTTTTAGTGGGAAATCCCGCAACTTAGGAACCAGATATTTCAGCTATTTTTGCACAGACCACCGTGCAAAGCAGTTAAAATCCTTAGCAGGCAAATGTTCGCTGGACGAAATGCACAAAAAGCATGATCGCACCGGCTACCCTGATGCGCGCCGCTATTTATTTTTTATGCGTTTTTGCATAATATGCAAAAATACATGCTGTGACGACCCCGGTGTGTGTGTGTGTGTGTATGTGTGCGTGCGTGCGTGCGTGCATGCGTGCGTGCGTGCGTGCGTGTGTGCATCTGTCCGGGTATTTCAACTCGGCGCTCAAGCAAGCTCCGGCGGCAAAATTTTGTGAATGGGTTCCTCGGCCAAGTGCCACTCCAGGACCGCGGCACCAACCCTCAAGCACGTCTAGGCCCCGCGTACGAGCGCCTTAAAGTTTTGGCGGAAAAATCGCTAACTCGAGAACCACAAAAGCTAGAAAGCTGAAATTTTGGGATTATGTTTCCAGTCTAAGTAGAACTCAAAGATTTCAAATTCAGCCCCCGGCGGTTCGTGGTTCCCGCGTACGGCCCCGTGAGGGTTCTTGGCGCGAAAATCGCTAACTCCGGAACCACAGAAGCTGGAAGGCTGAAACTTACAGGAAATGTTCCCAACTCATCTACAACTTAAATTTATCAAATTCAGCTCCCCGTTATGCGTAGTTGCCACGTATGGTCCCGTGAAAATTTCTGGCGGGAAGTGGCTAACTCCGGAACCAGGGAAGCTGGAAGGCTGAAAATTTCAGGAAATGTCCCCAACTCACCTACAACTTGAATTTATCAAATTCAGCCCCCCAACATGCGTGACTGCCACGTACGGCCCCGTGAAATTTTCTGGCTGGAATTTGGGTAACTCGGGAACTGAGAAAGCTGGGAACTTGCGATTTCGAGGAAGTGTTCCCTGTCCAAATATAGCGTGGATAATTAACTTTCCCGAAATTCGAGAACCAGCATGTACAAGAGATTTCTAGCTAGCGGAATTTCGAGTGATCTTATTGCAGCACGAAACACTGCAAAAACGCATAATCGCACGGGCCCGCCAGTGCGCGTTGCCAATGACTTTTTATGCGTTTTTGCCTATATGCAAATTGCAAAAACCCATATTGGGACGACCCTGTCTGTGTGTGTATGTATGTGTGTGTGTGTGTATGTGTGTGTGCGTA